TGGAACTTCAATCACCGACGCTCTTGCAAGCATCAATCTAAGTGTCTCAAAGAAGAAATAGAGGAAAAAGTCCAGCAGAAGGTGGACAGCAATGCTTTGTTTTGCTGTCCGTTCAGTGCCTGCACCACCAAACCAGGTCTGGTGCAGCGCAACGTGCTCCCACATGATGCCAACCTTGAAGGAAAAAAATACTATCTGGTGAATAGCTGCTCAAGAAAAAAACATCCAAGGTGTTGACAGTGGGGTGCGGGTAGTTGGACAAGATCTCAGCCTGAGGCCTGACGTGCCTTAGTGCACGAGTACATCTAACAGCACTTTGCCATTCGTCATTGGCCACTCCTAGTCCTTTGGGCGTTAGTAACTTCAGGCACCTTGCCGATGGTCCTCTTAACTTGTCAGCATGAAATCCTTCACCAGTGTCCTTTTCTCCCTACGAGTGGCCAAACAGAAATCGTGTGTGTGTGTGTGTGCCTGGCGGCAACAGTTTGACCACGCTCATAAATCCGTTAATGCGCTTCCTCCGCTGCCGTCCAAAGTGATTGCCAAGGCGCCAGAACATGTCACCGGAGTGGATCTGGAAACAAGGAGTCAAAGAAAAACCACCTCTGTTACAAATGCATTACGCACATTACTCTATATATATATATACAGTATCACTATTAGTCACCATATATATACAGTATCACTATTAGTCACCATACGTTCAACAATAGTTTACTTCTGAAGGTATGAGGCCAGAGATTTGCCTAGAAATGGTGTTCGTTCAACACATTCTTTGGCTCAAGACATAGAAATTCAAAAAATGGCCAAGCTCAGGTGCAAAGTTCAAATGAGCAACTGAAAAATTAAGGTTTCCCAAAAATCTAGGAACCAAATGAATAGTGCGAGCGGTATCCTGCGTCCTAGCTAGTAGCTACCTCCTGCTACCACCTCTTAGTGGCTTACCCTCCCTCAAAAGTTGAAGAGAAATACTTGCGTGACGGCCTGAGGTTCTTTTGCTAAAGAGGTCTTGACTGCAAGAAATGAATAAATGCGGTTTCTTGCTACTAGTAGTAAGGTGCCTTACTAGTAGTAACAAGCTACTAGTAGTAAGGCACCTTGCTACTAGCGTCCTTGCTACTAGTAAGGTGCCTTTCATCCACTTTTTCTAACGGAAGAGGTGCCTCCATGGCTGTGAAGAGCCGCCCCAGCTGTCGAAGCTGAACGCCCAACTCTTTGGCCTGGAAAACCAAGGCGTTCAAGAAAACGACACGTCGCTTAGCAAGCACTGTGGCTTTAGCACTTGTTTGTGCCGTTTGACAGGAACTCAACAACATAGCCTGGTTTTTGAATCTTTCACTGGTGCAAAAAATGTGAATGCATCTCTTGCACCATCGTTGTCGTTGAGCGCTTCGCTCAAGTGCGTGTCGGGAATATGTGTGATCATATATCCTAGGCGTATTTGTCTGCGTGTCTGATGGATGCACCACTGAGTGGCGACCACAAGTTTGTATTCAAGCAAATCTGTTTCGGATATTTTCGGATAGCGTCTTGGGGTTCGTGACGGGTTCCTGGTTGGATTTGTGGATGTCCTTTCATGAATTGGTGGATGGATGGATGCCCTTCGCAGCTTCGCATTTAGCAGTTTCAGCAACATACAGTATCTCAAATGAGTGTTGTGCTGGCAGTCTCCGTCGCGAAGCCATGCGGAACAGGGGAATTACATCGCTGCTTGTATTTCTTTTGTTACCAAAAACAAATCAAGAAAGTTAAAATGGTAAAGCCAAGCAAATGCCGAATGGATTTCCAGAACTCCAGCCTCACCACCTCGCTTCATGAGGATGGTGCCATAGCATGCTATGGCATAGTAACCTGATCGAATTCAAACTCCCTTTGTGTAGCAAATGGTCAAGAAAGCTCTAATTCGCCCACATATGCTAGGTTGGAGGCCATCACTTCTAGGTTGGAGGCCATATGCAAAAACACTTAGTTTCCGGCTATTGATGGCCTCACTGACACTCTCTTGATTCCTCAGCGTGAAGGCTTCAAGATCGCACTCCATGTTTGAATAGCTTTCAAGAGAAAAAAAAGAGTGAACTGAATCAACTGCTTGCATCTTTGCAAGTTTGCATGGCTTTAGACATCGTATGTCTAGTATACTGAAGAGTTGCACTAAATAGCTTTGTTATGCTATGTAGCACTGAAAGGTTGGCGCTTTTGGATCTATTCGTATACCGTACAGACCCCGAGGCCACTGCCGACCAAGCGGTTCGAACTTGATGCCACCGGCCCAAGAGAAGCCCATGAACCAATCCTTGCTTGACTCTGTCTTTTTCTTTTAGGTTGGAGGCCATTGCTGTCAACCTTAAGGCTAGACCGTTTGATGTTTTCTCTAAGTTCGAAGAATGTGTTTTCGAAAAACGCCTCGTTGCACCTGTACCTGACCAAATGTCCAAACACGGATGCAAAACGCTAGTAGGAGCAAGGACGCTAGTAGGGGCTCCTGGCATCGCTACTAGGAGCAAGGACGCTAGTAGGTTAAACGCCGCGTTCCCTTTCCAAGTCCGAGGGGTTCCTTGTGTCTGGCCAGCGGGAACATCTGATCAGCGCTTGACGGATTGGCATAGTCCCTGGCGGCAAGAGTGGAGATCCAGATTCAAAACATACAAAGAGATATATAAATAGAATGTAAAAATAGAAATGAAAAACGATGTGCTCTTCAAGTTAAGACAAATACATGATCTTCCTATTATTCGAAGAAGGTGCTAAAGATGCATAAAGCATCTTGCAACCCCACTGCTTCCGCGCCTGATCAAGGCCAAGATCTGAGGCCTCCATTGTTGTTCCCACTCTGGGCGGAATTTCGCCAAGACCTGTGTTGCAAAATGAATAAATGAAAAAGAAACTGTTGAACATGAATATCAAAGAAGAAAATGAGACAAAGGAAATGAAAGACCTTCGGATGCTTCAAAGAATGCTTAATGTTTCCAAAAATGTATTCTTGCTGATAGTCACACGGGTGCTTGCCTTGCAAATCTGAAGCTTTCACTTGCAGTTTGTGTCCTTTGTTCTATTTTCTGGGATGTGCATCACTGTGCAAAGTGTTCCATGTATCCATACATCCACCAACGGCCACAGCTTAGCTCTGTCCCAATCTAAGGAGCACACCGCAGCTGAGTAGATAAAATACCCATAGTGGAAATGGTGATCGTTGTAGAATCCGTTGCCAAAATTGTATCCTGACAAAGAGATGCATTTGCGCACTCAAGATTTGATTCTGATCTTGGGCCCACCTCTTGTGAAGGAGTATGAAAAATGATCGATCACAAAGTATCAAGGGACAAAGGACCTCGTTTATTACTGTTCTGACGCACAGTATCATCCCATGCTGCAAAAAAAGTATGTCTGCCCATCGCGCAGGTGGCCTACTTGGTTCAAGGCCGGGCAGGTAGTCGGTTGCGAGATGTCATTGGTGCACCTGAGATCTTGCAGACTGGTTTGCAACCGCTCAAACAGGCAAAGGAGTTCCAGATGGTCTACTAAGGGCGCTACTAGGCGGAGGCCATCGCTATTAGCAAATAGCTACTAGTAGCAATGGGTTTCTCATAGTTCTCTCAACTTTTTGGTCCTCGAGTTTGATTGTAGATCTTCATTGATCACCCGATACCGCTTTACGCATCCGCTTAAGTCTGTCGTTTGCAAAAGAGGCATCCGCTGGGGTGCCCGGCTTTGGGGCACAGGAGCCCCAGCAGTCATCATAGGTGCAACCACAGGACACCAAGCCTAGCATTGGGTGTTTGATGAAAAAGAGAGGAAAGAAAATGTAAAAGGTCCACAAATCTCACCAGTCTCTCAAAAGCAAGACTTCCAGGACCTAGAGGGGTCCAAAGCAGTGTTTTTGCAGTCTGCTCGTTGCCTGAAGATGGTTCTACACGCCAACTCGTCGCGTTTCAGAAGGCCTCCCCAAGATTTGTCATAGATGAAGGGCGTTGCAGCACCTCAAAAGATCAACAAAAAACAAGCAAAACAGCACAAGACCCGATGATTGCACTGCTTCGCACTGCTTCGCACTGCTTCCCGTCTGAGGGCGAATCCCTTTCCCAGCCACTTCCCCAGAGTATCTGCTAGCTCAGTGAGCATCCGGTTGACGAAGGCCTCATTTTCGGATGTTGAAGCGAAGGACTTGCTTGCACAAACATACACATGCTCAACTGAGCGACCTAGAAGAACATCTCAAAACAAGCTAGTAGCGATGGCCTCCAACCTACTAGCCGTCTCAGAACAAGCCATCTCTTAAGAAAATACCAAACATCTTTGTCTGGGTTTTGTGCCTCGTTGGACAGACCAAGCTCATCAGCAATGGCCACCAGCCGGGCCTGGAGCGGCATGTCCTAGTCGCGTCCTTGCTCCTAGTAGCGATGCCAGGAGCCCCTAGTAGCGTCCTTGTTACTAGTAGCTGTTCGTGCACCACCAGCTTCTTACAGCCTAATCGCACCAACCACGTCTGGCGTGATTTCTGTGATCCGGACCATTCGGGCGAGAAGCTTCCCGCTGAAGTAGGTGTCACCAACCTAAAGAACATGGAGTTGTCCAACTTCAAAGGAAAGGAAGAAAGTCAACATGCAAAACATAAAAATAAAAAGAGATCAAAGGAAAGAACGCTTATATAATAGAAAAGTGAAAAGAACGTTTCAAAGCCGGGGCCGGACTTAGCCCTTCCACTTGGCTTGCTTGGCTTGCTACTCCTAGCAAAACAACTGTGTTCGACTTTGTTCCCGCGCTCCAAGCTTGACGTTCTGTGGCAGCTCGAACTCACCTGGACGTCATGTGGAGCAAGACATGTACGACAAGTAAGTTGACAATACAAGTAGATACAGTAGATATCTTAAGTAAGTGAATATCTCTTTAAGGCGTGAATGACGTAGTCACAAGTTGCGTTCAAGAAGACATGTAACACGCATGTCTCAGTTATGGCTTGGTTTCACGGTCTCTTCCCTTCGATTTGCGGTCGGCACGGCTCCTTTTTGCGCGTGAAGTCGGAAGAAGCCGTGACAAAACACGTGGTGCCGCGGCGACTTCAAGCGTCGAGGCTTGGCACTTCACATCTCATCATCGAGGGCCATTTCAACCATTTCCGATGGATCAGAGTCTGTTGGCTTCCACGATATGGTCTTCTTGTCATCACCCCACTCAAAGTCAATCCTCAGATAGCTAGGCCAGGCAGCTAGAAGAGACTAAACATGTCCAAAATGTCAGAACCTGAAAAACATCGTTTCAAAGCAGTAAACTTCTGCCATGTTCCTTGTCCAAGTATCTTGTAGAACTGCCCAGGGTCCACGCCATCCTTCTTGCCATCAATGAAGAAGTTCAGGCCTTTCCCCGCATAGTCTGGGCCGACCACCTGCTCGCTGCTGTCGGCCTTCGGCACCAAAGGATGAATGATCTCCTTGTGGTCCTGACGGAAGGCGAGCAGCAAAGGCCTAGTCCCATCACTTGAAAATAAGAAGAATTCGTTTAGGAAAACTTAGCGTCCTTGCTCCTAGTAGCGATGCCCTTTGTTCTAGTAGCGTCCTCTTGCTCCTAGTAGGAAGGCCAGGAGCCCCTAGTAGCGTCCTTGCTCCTACAACCAGCTTTTGACAAAGAAGGTGTTTGTTTTGAAATGCTATAGCTTTACATGTGCGGAGAACGTTATATGTCCTGGGAGCAGCTTAGCTGGAACTCAGCACAGCAACTCTCGTCCACCCGGACCACCACGGAGTATCTTCCATCCCTGCACAAGATTCAACACACAAGAAAGCTGCAAAGAATTGCGTTTTTGCCTTTACCGCTTTACAACGCTTTCTCTTGAAACATGGTCAACGTTCCAATCTTATAAAGCTTGTTGATGGGGATTGCAATGTCAGCGATTGCCAAAAATGATTCAATCAAACATGCAATTGTGTACACATCCTCTCCGAGCCCCAATACTTAAGTTTCCCTAAAAATCCAGGAATCAAATGAATAGTGCGAACGCTTCTTCAAGGAAACTCCCGGCGGCGGGGGTTGTTTCGTCTCCACCAAGCCTTCCACCGTCCATGACTTTGTGGCTCGAAAAATTGTCCCAGGATCCACTGACATAAAGTTTTTGGCCCATGTGCAAAGCCCTCGGCAAGGAGTGCGATGGCAAGTTGGCCTTCACTGCTGCCTTGTGGCCCTGAGAATGTGTGGAGCTGTTGCTCAATGAAGGTTCAGGAATGATACAAGGTTCAAAAATGTCAAACATGCTACATGGATTGAAACCTAGTAGCAAGAAACTACTAGTAACAAGGTGTCTTACTACTAGTAGTTTCTACATGGATTAAAACGATGCCCGCCTTGGAGGCCCATCCGTAGACATCGGCGCGGCTGTTGGTTCCACCGAAGCCGAAGGAACTCACCCCGCAGTACAAACTGCTGAGACCCACGTCGATGTCCTACCAGTAGGGACGCTACTAGGTGGAGGCCATCGCCGTTAGAGAATCACCACGGTTTGCCTGAGCCTTTAAGCAACTCAAAGGTTAACACCGTTAGGAAGAGTTGTGCCACTGTTCAAGGGTGCATGAAATCTGCTTCGTTGATTAGAAGAAAGTACCTTGTCTGGACCACTTCGATCAATAAGTGTCATTCTGTCCATCAACATCTAATTTAATTTACTTAATAAAGCCCTCAACGGTCTTTGGTTGCTCCAGCTTTGTCAGTTTCACTTCAGGGACCGACCTCACACATGGCACCACTGCGGCTGAAACTCCACGCCGAAGACAAGAACTATGGTTGAATTCTAGAACGCGCAAGCTTGTCTTACATGTGAATTGTGGGGGAACCACACAAATCCAGCATGAGGTATCCCAGGTGTTCTCATCCTCGGTGTCAAAGTACACTGGATAGCCCTCAATCGTCAGGTGCGGGTTGATGAGGTTAAAATGGCAATTGGGAGGCGCCGTGCCCATGTTGATCATCATGATGCATTTGGTGAGTCCAGCAATGCCTGCCCACGAGCCGTCTTTCTGAAGGCTAGCTAGCAAACTCGTAAGCAGCGTCCGCTGGTCACCGGACCTTGACAATATACATATACATTATCAAATTGATATTGGCAGCTTCCTCGCCCTTGTTGAGGTCCTCCTCAACCAACACCCACAAAACTGAGTAAAGACCTTCCCAAGATCCAATGTCCACTTTGATGGTGTCCTCGCCAAATCCACGATATCCACTGGCGCCCCCACCCCACCAGACGCAGCACTCCAGCACCTTTTCCTCAGGTGCTCCACATGGCTGTCAAGATCCCTCCACACCGCGCCCACTTCGGGCAATAAAGGCATCGGACGAACGAATGCTCATCGGCGTGAAAGCAACATGCGACCTGGAATTTCGACATACCCAATGTTCAATTATTGGGTCGATTATGTTGCTCAGGTGGTGCACACAAAAAACACTGGGCTGCGATCGACTTACATCCTGTGAGTGTTTCTCGAACCAGCTTCAATGAAAAGCTTCCCAGGCATATCACATCGGTGTATGTCGGGATCTCGGAACTTGCAACGGATGGCTTGGCCTTGGACTTGATCGCTGCCTTGAGGCCCACCTCTGATGTTTTCAGAGAACTCTGGCTTTTCACCGAGTGGTGTTCCTGAGGACTGAGCTTCTCCAGATCTGCCTGATTTTCCTCGAGGTCCTCCATGGTTTTGAGGTTCACACATACTGGATGAACAGCTGGTGTTCGAATTTCCCCACGGTCCACGCCATGTCCTGGTAGGCTTGCCAGAACGGGACTCCGTTCTTCACCTTTCCAAACGCGATCACCTGGCCCTTCAGTTGGTCCAAACTCATCAGCTTCTCAGGGATGCCATGATGTAGGGAAGACTCAGTGAGTGACAGGGTTTGCGATTCTTGAACCTCTGTGCTTTCGAAACAGATTCAATTGACCTCCAGCAAATTGTTGAGACTGGGTTTCGGATCTCTAGCTTCTTCCTTGGAAAAATGCGATTCGATGGTGCACTCCACTGGGTCAGGTGCCTCCTGTTGTTTTTGCACGAATGCTTCAGCTTCGGTTGAGAACGTCTCTCCTGGTGGGTCGACTCTTTCTTCGACTTCGAAAATGCATTAGCCCAAAGTTGGTTGATGTTGATGTCCAATAAAACAGATTCTTGGAAGCTAAGTGTTTACTCCACAATGCTCCTGCTTCGGTGTCGACCACTGCTTTGATTTGTTTGAGAAAGTAGAAACGGCGCGTTGCCATCCACTATAGTGCTATGCGGAACCAGGACTTCTGGAGCGGCAGCATCAAAGTGGTCTTGCTCGGAAGCCTCTGATGGTTTCCGAATCTTAACACGAGGTCGAACCTGGCCTTGGATCTCTTGAGGGAGATTGGACAGCATTTCGGCGACTTGATCTTTGCCAATGATTGTTTGGGATGTATTCTAATTAACTGTTGAAGCAAAAAGGCTCGCTTCACACTCGAAAATTGCGGATTTGGGCTCAAAAGGTTCACGGGCGGCTGGCTGTTCACGAGTCTCCGGTGCTTTGGAGATCCTGCCATTGTCTGTTTTCAGTTGTCGTTTTTGCTGTTCGGACAACTTGATTTGAAACTCTTGATTCGTTTTGACACTAAACCATTTCGTTCGCCCCCTGGAAATCCGAAATCACATCCAAGTCAAAGGCCACGGCTGCTGAGGTCGGAGCAACGAAAGGAGTCTGGTCGCTTGACTCTGCTGTTTGCTTTCGCACCGGACAATCGGCTCGCCAGTGTCCTTTCTGGTTGCAATGCCGACAGTAGGTCTCGGCAATTCGCCGTTTCAGAGATCCTTCGTTCCCCCTTTTCCAAACTTCCCTTTCTCACCTTTTTCCCGCCGCCTTTCGAAGATGAACTGCGTTTGACTCGCCAGAAATTTTGACTCTTTCTTGAAGGCGACGGCGGGCATCCTGGTATGAGGAGTAGTATGCTGCTAGCTCAGGATCATCTTGTATCACTGATTGATTGCTCAAATTGCAATACCAAAGCAGCATCTGTGTCTTCCTGCGACAGCTGTTCCAATGCATCATCGTCTTGAGCATCTTCAAACATAGCCCGGCTCGCTTCGTCTTTCTTCCTGCAATTCATCCGCAGCGAACGCGGTTTGGCCGTAGGTCTTGAGACCTTTCTCTTTGCGACCTGTCGAAAAACGACGATCCCAGGAGTCGAGTCGCCGCCGAAACCTTCTTCATGGTCAAAACACCACCTGTCTCGGCGCCTGATTCGACAAGGACGCGCTTGCTTCCACGAAGAATATTGCGTATACGCCTGGACCTCCTGGAGCTTCACCTGTTTCATCTCCAGTCTGTCCATGCCACATCAGTCTAGCCAGACAGCTGTCAGCAGCTTCGTCACTCTTTTCGAAACATTTGTACAAGGCCTTCTCGACCTATACTTCCTTTCCAAAACCACTTGGCCAAGTTGGCCTGCTACAGTCTCCGGGATTTTCTGAATCCCTGCCTTGTCCCCTCTGAGCACCTCGGACTGGCGAAGCTCGGACTGACGAAGGTCCCGTTTCAAAATGGCGGACCCCTTTGTGTTCAACAAAGTTCTTGTCGCCAACTCCAGGTGCTTTCCTTCCGGCCAGGCCTTCATGAGCAAGGAAGTCTTTTGCTTCCACTGATCAACATTGTCTGTAGCAGGATCAAAAACCGGCACCAACTGTGCCAGCTGACTTGTCACCAATATCAAATTGATATTGGCAGCTTCCTCGCCCTTGTTGAGGTCCTCCTCAACCAACACCCACAAAACTGAGTAAAGATCTTCCCAAGATCCAATGTTTACTTTGATGGTGTCCTCACCAAATCCACGATATCCACTGGTGCCCTCACCCCACCAAACGCAGCACTCCAGCACCTTTTCTTCAGGTGCTCGACATGGCTGTCAAGATCCCTCCACACCGCGCCCACTTCGGGCAATAAAGGCATCGGACGAACGAATGCTCATCGGCGTGAAAGCAACATGTGACCTGGGATTTCGGCAATACATATATCTATATATACATATTTATACACATATCATATATCACATGAGCCTTCCTTGCCATCCCTGCTTAGTTTCCGCGCCTGCACCAGCTTCCAAGTGTGCGATGTTACTCTTAGCACTGGTCTTTAGGATTGGCACCTTCCGCTCATGCATCACCGCCATCAGCGCACCGACCTCAATGGGATCCCCCAGCGCAGTGCCGGTGCCGTGGCACTCGGCAATCGAAACGGTGTTGGGATTGATCCCGGCAAAGCGCATGGACTTCTTGATGACCTGAAATGACCAACAAAACACAGAGCAAATGAAGGAAAAAACAGCATATCATTACATATCCGTTGAACATATCCGTTTCAACACGCCCTTCGAGGCCCTCTTCGCCCCACCTGCTGCTGTGCCGGGCCGTTGGGGGCCGTCAAGCTGGCACTTCTTCCATCTTGGTTCGTGGCCGTTCCAATCAACGCGCAAACCCGGTCCTCTTCGTCCTGTTTGTCTCCTTGGTACATCTTCACAAAAACCGCACCGCAGCCTTCTCCTGAGGCACCAGAGTGTTCCGAATCTTGACCTCTACAGTAGACTTAAAACATCTCCATTGCGTCTCTAGATTCCAAGAACTGGAAAAGCGACTCGTTTGCACAAAGGCGTTTCAAGGCATATCGACCTGCCAAGGCCGGCATCCCCTCCTCGCTGGTATCCATCTGCTGAACGGTTGAAGGTAAAGCTTCTTCCCTGGTGGGAAAGCATTGTAGCCATGCAATTCCCGATGAAACTTCCCGGTCCCAACAGGGTGTTCACACCCACCACCAAGGCCTGCGAGGAAGTCCAAGAAAATCCAAATGTGTTTGGGGTGTTTGGAAGCGGTCGAAGACACGCTCAACTGTTCGAGGTTCTTCTGAAAAGAAGAAACAAAGCAGAAAAAACAATAAAACCCAAAGCTAGGAACCAAATTCGCTCTTAGGTTGGAGGCCTACAGGAAACAAAGAAAATAAAAAAAGGGAAGAAAGGTCTCATATAAAGTCTATCCGTTGAACAGCGGCCAGGAGCCCCTAGTAGCGTCCGATCGCTCCTAGTAGCGAGCTCACATCACGGCCTACCTCCTTCACCATCCAAAAACGCTCCGGACATTGGTCGGGCCTGGCCTCTGCGTTGTCCGGCTTGGGGGGATCCGAGTCAAACATGCAGAGATGCGCTGCATTCATGGCCACCAAGGAAGCAGAGCAAGCGGTGTCGTAGGAGGAGACCGGGCCACGGATGTCGAATTGGTGGGCAATCCGTGCAGCCGTGGTGGCACAGCTCATGCTAAGACCCATGGTGGTGGGACAAACATCTGGGCAGAATCTGGCCCATTCAGTCTGGAACGAATGCCAATCAGGACCAACATCTCCAAACCAAAGGCCCATGCGCCGGCCTTTGAGAGTTTTGCTGCTAAATCCGGAGCTAACCAGACATTCATAACCCACCTCCAATGACATCTTCTGCCCTGGAATCATGGATCTTGCCTCGGTCTCATCTATGCCGAAGAAGACGTTGTCAAACTGAGTGATCTGATCTTGACTCACGAAACCACCATGGCAAGTGTATGACTTTCCAGTGGCAATTGCATCTGCTCCCTCCTCATAGTAGGGCTCTGTCTCCCAGCGTGTATAGGGCCACTGGGTACAAGTATCTGTACCGGAGCAAAACCTGAGCGCTGGCTCCGCCGAGCTGAAAGAGCCCATTGTTTCCAAGACTTTACAGGAGACCCTTCTTCTTTTTGAGACCCTTCCTCCTTTTCTTTGTTCTTTGTTTCTTCATTATCTTTGACCTTTTAGCCAAGACAAATAAAAGCTGATGAAATTAGACTCCTCCGCTGCCTAGTTGGAGGAGGATCAATGTGGTGGTTTGGGCCGGTTTGGGAAGGTGACGTGCTGCGGAAGATGATGGAAGACGTTCAAAAGGGCCTTTAGACCTGCCCAGATCGTCATGACTCTTTGGGACACTTTGTGATCTACAACTTGCGGCTTTTACTAGTAGCTTCTAGCTACTAGTAGTAATGCCCTTGTTGCTAGTAGCTGAGTAGCTTAAAAGTTTGCCCACAATGAAAATGCAAAATTCCTGTTGGATGTTTGACATTGCTTGACTCCCCTCCTTGGTATCCCGGATTCCAGCTTCAGAACAAAAAACACTCAAACCAACCCAAGCTAAACTAAACCTTCTATGTTTCCGTTGTTTCCGTTCTTCTCGTCCTGCCACGGGACATGCACCAATACTGCGCCGGAGACCAAGCCTCACCAGGCAGCCGCGTCGTCAATGACATGATGGACGCCTTCGGACCATCTGGAACTTCCGGTCCGGGATTGCAAACGACTTGACCAGAATCGCCCAGCTGGCCCAGATTCACCATCATTTCCTCAAGAAAAACCAACGAATTCTTAAAAAGCGTGTTTCATCGTCTCAATGAGCTTTTCCTAAAAAGGGAATGGGTTCTCTTCATCCATTCAAGCTGCTTTGATGGCTGGAGACTTCCCCGTTTCTTGCATCAGCCAGGTTTGGAGTGCAAGGCTGCGACCCAGGGCTTGGTACGAATAGTCCATGATGTCGTGCCGGAAAATGAGAATCTTGTTCTGTGTGGCAGGGATCTTCATACTCCGCCGTGCGCCGGGCAAGTACGACCCATCCTAGAAGACAACAGAAGGTTGCTTTTAGAAACACTAGGTCAGTCTGAATCACCACCCTATACACTAAGGTATCGAGCACTTAAATTTGTTGATTCATCCAAACTATTCCCGCTGTCCTTGGGATAGAACCAGATCTCTCCTCCCTTGTTTTCAATCATGTGAAGCAAGCCCAACCTTCGCCTTTTCGCGAAGAAAATGTATTCCTGAAGAGGCCCTGACCAACCTGATCCTTCCTCCTGCATCATGTCTCTGACAGACTCAGGAAGGTAGTCTTCCTCTTCGTTCCTGGTCATTGACATCCTCAAAAATGGATTCATGATGTAGCTAAAGGTCACGCCAATGGCCGGCGTCATGGGCGCGATGTCAGTGGCAAGATCCCTAAACAGCAACTGACTCTCTTCAAAGGCCTTGTTGTCGAGCTCCTTTGGGAAACGAAAAACAAAAAAGAAAGTCCATAAACAACTTCACCACGAGATGCCTACGTATCATCTGTCAACGCTACCTTGAATGCCAGGCGCCTCATCCTCTGGATAGCTCAGGCCATCCGGGTTCGACTGTTCCTCCCGGCGCTCTTGGAGCCAAGCAATCTTGTTGTTGGAATCGAAGCCCATGTATCCACTCTCGACCTCCTGCTTCATCCGGAAGAAATACCTCCAGGGGTTGAGAGTTCCGAGATAGCTAGCATAGCTAAAGAAAAGAAAGAGATAGAAATAAGGAAACAAGGAAGTCTCCATTGATCCGTCATGGCAGTCCGCCAGTCGACCGGTCGACCGAGGATCGGGTCCGGAGGAGCTGCGATGACGGGGAGTTCCAAGTGTTCCTAGTAGCGATGCCCTTGTTCCTAGTAGCTTCTTGCTCCGAGTAGTAAGGCCAGGAGCCCCTAGTAGCGTCCTTGCTCCTAGTTGCGATGCCCTTTGCTCCTAGTAGCGAAGTCCAAGACTCCTACCATGCTCTGACTATATAGGTGACCCGAAACAAAACGATATATATATAGTATATGTTCAACTTCGCTGCCCCGAACAATCCGTCGAACTGGACTTCTGGGAGAGTCAAGAAAAGAGGAGAAAAACAAAAAGGAACTGCTAGCTAACACGAATTAAGCTAGTTGCATGCATCCGATCATGCGAAGCAGAAGGTCTTAGGTTCTCTTTTGTACATTCCAACGCGTGCCTCTCTTGTTCCTGTCCACTGTGCCACGCATCGGCTCTCTGCCTCTTTGTCATGAAGGTTTGAATCACGCAATAGCCCTTCTCAGCCAGTGCGCCTACCACACTATCTGCGAAACGCATGGCTTTCCCTGTCCGGCTTCGGTCCAAAGGCCATGCAACGTCAAAGCCACCTAGAGGCAACAAGTGGCTGTGAAAATTGCAAACAAAACAAACAATTTAAAGACATCAAACTAGTAACAAGTGCCACGCTAGTAGTAACAGGTGCCTTACTAGTAGTAACAAGAAGCTATTAGGAACAAGTGCCTTACTACTAGTAGCTAGAAGCTACTAGTAACAATTGAATGGCGGGAAGGACCGAAGCTGGCCATGTCCTCACCTGTGCAAACAAAACAAACAATGGAGCTAAGGTGGCGAAGTTGAACTAGTTCTGTGAACTAAACTCGATGCTTCCCCGGCTTCCCCCCACCTTCTTCGGCTGGTGGCGGAGACCATTGCTGCAAGTTGGCTTCGGGCACCGTGACGACGTGACCTCCGAAGGTCTTCACGACGTAAAGCTCACGATCTTGAAGCCATGACATGCAGGAGCCACAGGAACTGAAGGAAGGCGCCATGGTCTCCTCCTCTTCATCGTCATCGTCCAACTGAACCAGCTCTTCAGTCTCTTTCTGCTCGCCTGGAAAGTAGCTGGTCAAAGCAGCATTTTATGATGCTTCATGTTTCGTTTTTTCACGATAGAAAATCTGGCAAGGTACGCTCATCAAAGACTTTGAGACCCCTGGTGATGCCAACAATCTCCACCAGTTGGCCCACGAGGGTGTCCATCTCAACGCTTCTGAGCGAGTCCCATGCACCAGCCATCGCAAATTCGGACACTCGTACGTTCGTACGAGTGCCAGCTGGTTCTTTGTCTCTACCCAAAAGGGGAGCCGAGCCAAGCCGGCCCTTGAACCAAGATTGACATCACATGCAGAGGTGCATTCGAGAACTCGTGACATCTGATTCTGATCAATAAGCTTGGCAAGTCGAAATTGAAGCACCTAAGGAGCTCACTATCGGATTTGGCACCGTTGTACTTGGAGCCAGCCATATGCCTGGCAATTTCGGCATGGAAAAGAGCCCCACAGTGTGTTTCCGTATCGGCAATTATTTCAACCAAATATTGAACTCTCAACCGTACCCTCCGCCCATTAACACTCAACTGTACAGCTTAAACACGGTTGGTTCTGCTTCAAGACATCCGAGCAAAAGAAATTGGTAAATCTCTCACACTCCACAGATACTCCTCCATAAGCCTTATGATCACTCCCTCTTCCGCACCTCTTCCTCAACACTTCTCTTCCTCCGACTCCCCAAACTGACATGCCAGCAGCACGTGCCGCCCTTCAAGGCCTCCAGGATCATGTCACGCAGCGTGCCAGGGGGGACTGGGTGCCGCCTCGTCAAAGCACAGGTATTCCTGTACCGTAAGTGTGTTTCTTTTCATGTTGTTTCTATTCTTTTCTTTGGACCTTTAGACCTTTCTTTTCTTCCTTTTCCTGTTTCTAATAGCTTCTTGATAGTACTAGTAAGGCACTTGTTACTAGAAGCGATGCACTTGTTCCTAGTAGCTTATTGTTTCTACTCTTTTCTTTGGACCTTTAGACCTTTCTTGTCTAGAGGGCGTCTTTTCCTTTCAGCTCGATAGTCCAATCTAAATTCCTCAGATTCCGCACCCTGCAAACTCGTGCGTGGGATAGAGCGGGTACCGGAGCACCAGGGGACTCCGTGCCACCTGGCCCAAGGCAAAAAACGAAGTCGTTGACTTTTCTGCAAGGAAGAGTAGCTCTAAAAGATGTTTCTTCCAACGAAGCATCTTTGTAGTCTGCTGTTCTTGTCTTTTCAGAAAGCCTTGCTGCTACGATGTCTGCGAGCAGAGCATTTCCACCCACACAAAAAAGAAACGACTGAGCTGCTGAGCTCCGAGCAAAGACTTTGGGTTCTCCGCCTCGGTGGAACTAACTCACTGTGTTCAGCTTGTCACTAGTCTCAACTCTTCCGTTCAGCTTTGGCTTTCTTTCACAATCAAAATTGCAACTCGGAAGCTGATACAGAATCAGCTAAGCTGCGCAAGTCCTTGAAAGGTGTCTTCGGGGCGCTTTCGACTTGACTCTTCTCCTGGCACCACATCTTCGTGGCGCTTCTCAGACGACGCAGAGATGGGAGTGAACACAGACTCTTCCAAGTATATAACTGTCTGTATGATTCTCTGTGTGTGTGTGTGTGTCACAATCCCAATGGACATTTCCCATACAATGACTAGTTCATATCAGTAGAGTCTCATACAACTTTGACAAACATGCATCATGCTTCATCACATGAAAGCCGGAAAGGTCCTCCTCTGCCATCAAAGATACTTGATGTGGCCAAAGTAGCTGCAGCGCATCACACTGGCCGGGTGGACTATGGTCTGAATTCCACCCGCGAACAGACCAAGTCTCGGAATTCTTGCAGCGCTCCTATAGACCAAGTAGAGAAAGGTTTAGTAAGTCTCTCATACAGGACATATCTAAGTTACCAATCACAAAGGACCATATCTTTTCCACTGTGGTCAAACAGCACAGCTTCTCAGTGACGGCTTTAACCCATCTCGAAGCACTGAAAGACATGTGACAGACATGCAACATGCGTGAGGGAGTGGAGTGGAGTGGAGTTCTTGGAAGCATCCAATCGTCCATCTCAGCTTGGCGCCTCTTCCAGGCCTGGAATGGTCCTCCGATTCCGCCAATCGAAGATCACCTTGCTGAATAGGCTGACTAAAAGCATCATCAAAGCATCCAGTGATTGGATGTCTTTCTTGAACACAAAGATGGTCCATTTCTTTCGTAAAGGAGCAAGGACGCTACTCATTTTTCATGGCACCTTTACGGTTGGCACACTTTGTTCGCTCTGCCTGTGCCACATCCTCCTCTTCATTGGCCGCATAGTCCACACCAGATGTTACCTGCGCATTTCCACCAAATGCTGTGGCTTCGGGTGGACAAAGAGACACTCAGTGCACCCCTTGCTACTAGTAACACGGGCATCGCTAGTAGTAGCAAGGGCATTGCTACTACGA